TAGGCAAAGAATGGGTTTAAAAGCCGAGCAAAGTGAAGAAAGAAATGTTTGCTATGCTGACAAACTGCAAGCTCATGCACCTTTTGGGTGCGAACATGTGTTTAAAAAATAGCCATTGCCTTTCACTAATTCAGGCCAAGGTGCCTGGACGTGTAGACTTCATGAGGCGGGAGCCCCTGGAGAAGACAGTTCCGTTGTATTTGCATCTGAAAAGGTGTTCTAAGCAGAAACCACCAGCCACTAAGCTCACCTGCAACGGGGAGTAGCTCTCACACCCATTTCCCACCATCACCTCCCTGTGCCTCTCTCTCTGGATCAGCTTCTGCGACACTCCTACACCTACACGACAGCTTCTCTGGGCCCTGATACATGCTGTTCCTTCCACCCAGAACACCCTTTATCCAGGGAACATCTACTCAGTCTTCCTCAAGGCTCATTGCAAATGTCACCTCCTCCCTGAAGCCTTCCTTGATACCACATGCCCAGTATAAATTAAACTTCACTGGCAGTGTTTTGTGTATAACTATTTTACACACACACACACACACACACACACACACACACACACACACACACATTTTGTATTGATTTCAGAGAGGAAGGGAGAGGGAGAGATAGAAACATCAGTGATGAGAATCATTGATCAGCTGCCTCCTGCACGCCCCCTACCGGGGATCGAGCCTGCAACCCGGGCATGTGCCCTAACTGGGAATTGAACCGTGACCTCCTGATTCATAGGCTGATGCTCAACCCCTGAGCCACGCTGGCCAGGCTGTGTAACTATTATAATAGGACAGTTTGTCTTGGTAGCGATTGTGTCTGCCCCCGGGTTGCAAGCTCTCTGAGGGTAACCGCCCCTTTTGGGCATTTACTCCCAGCAGCACATGCAGTCAATGCTCAGTAAATATCAGTCCACTTGTCTTGGTCTTGTATGGAAATTGGGAAAAGGGGTAATAATGTAGCAACCGGCTCCCTGTCGAGGGACGGGGAAGCCAGAAGTGAATGATGTAGGGAGCGGAGACGAGGAAAGACCTCTAACCTCACCTCTTCCACTAAAGACGGCCTTTGTGTGGACTTCACGCACAGGAGGGCAGACAACAGAGAAGCAGACTGACAAGGACAAGGGCAGAGACCGGAAGCAGCGTCTGCCCACACCTGGCCCTGGAGGTCTGGCACTGGGGAGTGGGAGGTGCTAGGCGGGAGGGAGGGTGGGCGGGCCATACTCCCAAGGTGTCACCGTGACGCAGTGGGTCGCCTCAAAGTGCCAAATACACAGAAAGTGCTCCAGAAACAGGCAACGTGGGGGAGGTGAAGGGGACCGCATGAGACCATTCTCCGGCTGCTGGAATGGCAGCTCGGAGCAGATCAGTTAGAGAAAAAGGCACGTTTCTGGCAAGACCCGAAGTGAACACAAAGCAACGGCACATGGTACCGGCAGAAGCTGCCACAGGCCAGACCTCTACAGGCTCAGCATCGACTTCATTTCCTCTGGTTGGTTCTCAGGGGAATCTGTTTGTGGGGCAAATTCCTAAACACAACACTGTCAGGAATATAAATGGGCTCCCCGCTATCACTGTGGGCTCCCCGCTATCTCTGTGGGCTCCCCGCTATCACTGTGGGCTCCCCACTATCTCTGGGGGATCCCCACTATCGCTGTGGGCTCCCCGCTATCTCTGGGGGCTCCCCGCTATCTCTGGGGGCTCTCCGCTATCCCTGTGGGCTCCCCGCTATCTCTGGGGGCTCCCCGCTATCTCTGGGGGCTCTCCGCTACCACTGTGGGCTCCCCAGTATCTCTGTGGGCTCCCCACTATCGCTGTGGGCTCCCCGCTATTGCTGGGGGCTCCCCAGTATCTCTGTGGGCTCCCCGCTATCGCTGTGCGCTCTCCGTGACCACTATGGGAAGGGACAGGCCGTGTTCACAAGAGAAGAGCATCAGTAATAAGGTCTGACAGTGTCAGTGAGAAGGGAGGCTGGGAGGAGGGGTGACTTCGTGGTGTCTGCCAGGATCCACAGGACTCGCCTGGTTTCCAAGGCAGCGAGTGGACCCTGTGAGTGGAGAGTCCCGCGGGAAACTGAAGAAGAGCTGAGACTATGAAGCTACTTCCTAGCTTGCCATCTTACAGGTTAGTAAGAGGGTGTAAGACAAAACACCACTTTAAAGAACACCGTGGAGACGAGGCTGAAGGAGACCGATGGAGACGTTTTATTCCGACGCGGTAAGGTTATAATGAGAACTTCCAAGTTCTAAAAGTTCAAATAAAAATAGGATTTTACAAATTAAAAAAATACAATTTATATACACAGTGGAATTAGCTAAGGTTACGTATAAACAACCAGTGCAAACACAAAAAGGAAGCTGCTGCTGTCCCAACGGCCAAGGCCCGCAGGAGGCGTGCAATCCGCACACGAACGTCACGGGCCGTCCGCTCCCGGCCTTTCCCGACACCCAGGGTGGTGTTGGTGTGCAACCTCACATCGGACATGCCATGTGGTCGGCCGGGTCAGGCCATGTCCATTCCAGCCGGAGCCACTCGTTAAGCAAGGTCATGAGCAAATCACCTCTCAGGTGCAAGTCCTCCAGCCGTGGGGACTCTACCCCCATCTCCCCTGACCACAGCCGGGGACCACAAACCACCACACTGAGACCAAACAGCCACCGCTAGCCAAGCCCGAGCCCTGTGCCGTCCTCTATGGAGGGACCAGATCCCCGGAGGCACGGGGCTGCTGGCACCAGGAGAGGACTGGAGATGCAGGTTTTCAGCAGACTTCCGAGGAGCGGGCTTCCAGGATTCTGCTGCGAGTGGGCCTGGCTGTCTTTGGGCACCAGGAGAGGACAGCCGTCACAGGGGACAGAAAGCGCCTTTCAAGAGGGGCCCAGGCCTTCCTGGCAGCCGTCCAGCCAGCTCCGGGGGGAAGGCATTGCGTTCTGTCGTCTACCTCTGGGCCACACCGAAGGGAACAAATGCCTGGTGACTTAAAAGCAATGCGATGTGCACGAGGGGCCATTTCCTAGTGACCCAGCGAGGACAAGAGGCCTGGGGACCCCCTGCAGAACCCGGCCTGGCCCATCTCAGGGAGGGCTGGGAAGAGGGTCAAGTTCCCGTGAGGGGGTCACACCATGCTCCTGGTCCCCTTCTTCACGAAAGGAGGAAAGAAGGCGGTCACGCTCTGAACACTCTTTAAAGCGAAGTGGCGGCTGGCTCACACCACGATGAGAAGGGCTGGCCTCTTTGGTCCTTGTGATTTCCCGAACGATGCAGTGGGGGTTTCATCACGTTTCACAAATCAAGTGCCTCCAGGAAGCTGACACACTCAGACCTCGAAGTACTTTTGGTCGAAGAGATAAGATGGGGCGGAGAGCAACCGTCTGCTGGAAAAGGCCCCAAGCGGCCCCTCACTAAGTGGGACTGTTCACCTGAGTGTGTTGAGCCAAGACCTGGGCGGGCAGAGCAAAGGCTGACACCCACCCCTGGAAAGGGTCTTCCCATCAAAGTCAACTCGAGGCGGAGGGCGAGAAGTGCTGCCAGGGCCAGGCCCGGACACCCTCAGGCAACTCCCAGGTTAAAACACGAGGGAACGAAAAGCCAATGAACGCCACCTCGGGTGCAAGGCCCACCTGCCCGGGGTTTCCTGAAGGCCCAGGATGCTGATGATCGTGTAGAGAGCGGAGGCCAGTGAGAGCAAATGCCGCCGCCAAAGGCCCACTCGGGGCCTGTGTAGAGGACCAGCGCCTGGAGAAGCTGAGTCACTGGCACAGAGGGAGGCTTCCTGGGTTCGATGCTATAGCCTCGGGGCATGTCCCAGCAGGAAGCATCCTGAGTTTCATCGCTGAGCCCCTCAGCCGATTGGGGGGTGGCAGTGGGAGGTGACAGGGGTCTGTGGGGTGCGGACACCCGCGTCCTCGAACACGCATTTACTTCGTCGCCACACTCAGGCCTTTCAAGCCGCATCTCGTACCTTGTGGTGGTCGCTGGCTCAGACTCATTCTTTCCCATTTGGAAGTAACCATACCGTTCTCCAGAGCCGAGCGGTTTATCTAGGGACCCCGCTCTTAGTTAAATTGGGGGGGCCTGCTCTTAAATTGGGGGGGCCTGCTCTTAGTTAACTTGGGGGGGGCATCAAGATCCTCGGGGCTTTACCAGGAAGATGCAGGCAAACGTGGGGAAAGTTTAGTGATTCGGTGGAGGTGAAAAGGAGCAGGAACGAATGGGGTAAAAATGCGTCACCAGGGGACCGTGGGTCACTTGGGAAATGAAGAGAAAGCTGAAATGTTAAAACCAGGGCAGATGGAAAGCTGGCCCCATGGTCAGATCCACTGCTCAGGGATTATTAGTGGGGTTAATGCTTTGTGCTTCCTGGGGGTGGTGGTTCTAAGGAGACTGAAACCACAGGGGCCAGAGCTGAGCTCCCCCCGGAAGCAGCGCATCCCCCCAGTGAACCTGCAGATTGAGGGGCCGCGGAGGAGGGCCTCCCTGAACATGGGCCATCTTCTCAGTGCCCAGCTCCCCAGCCAGTAATTCACTTTATTTTGCAACTGGCGCTTCCCTGGGGTCTGCTGAGGCCACATCCCTCCCTCATGGTTTACGGCAGAACTGGGTCCCCCAGGAAAGCAGCGAAGGGGCAGGAACCCTGCTCTGGGTGTCACTCTCCAGCGGTGAGGCCTGATCACTCTCGCGGGTCCTAGCATTCGTGGAGCAGGGGCTGGGGCCTGTGCCAACCTGGATGGAAGGAGCTCGGGGAGCAGGGAACAGGAAGATACTTGCTGAGAAAGTCAGACAAGTCCAAACTCTGACGGGTCAAACCAGCCCCAGGATCTAGACCAGCAAGCGTTCGATGACTGCAGGCTTTCCGAGCGAGGGGTGACGGGCTCTGCTGTGCCCTGAGGCAGCCCCGCCAACCGAGGCGGAGCAGAGCTGCCTCCCTGGAGCTCCAGGAGGGCGCTGGCCTGTGGATGAGGCGAGCCTCAGATGGTCTGGTAGTGCTGCCGCAGCCGGGCCTGCAGGAATTCGTACGTCAGGTTGTGTCGGGTGATGATCCCAACGATCTAGAATGAGGAGAAAAAGACCCAAGTCACCTGCTGAGTCAAACGCAGTGGGGCAAGACCCGAGCGGATGGAGCTGGCCCAGTCTGTCAGGAGGAGTGGAGGTCAGACAGGGTCCTGGATGGTGCAGCGCAGACACGACACCATGACCCCCACGTCAAAGGTCACCTGATCTCTATGAACAGGATACACAGATAACTAGGGCTCCTAAAGGGGAGGCCGATGGGCTGTAGTCTGGCCAGTGACAATCTGAATGTGTGCACCTGTGTAGACAGGGCACACGCCCCCCAGCTTTTTCAGTCCCCATCTCCCCCGCTCCCCGGTATTTGGCTTGAGAGTCTCTCATTTAACGTTACAGAGCCCATAACAGCTGGGGAACTGACACCTCACCCCATCCCCCCAGGTGCTGCCAGGTCTTGGGTGAAGAGACGGGGCCCTAAACTTTTCTAGTCCACAGTGCCACTGGCGACATCTGCTGGCCACGCTGGAGATTGCATATAAGAAACGGAAGGCAAAGGGGGGGAAAGGAAAGGTGTGTGAAGTTATCCCAGGCTCCACGCGCCCACTCCCTCCTCACTCCTCACTCCTGGTGGGAGTTTCAGAGGAGGTTTTAGTCTAGAGACCTCCCTGCTGGATTCTGTGGTTGGAGGGTCCTTTCCTGAAGGTGGTGGTGGTGGTGGGGGTGGGGGTGGGGGGGACGAGGCCAGGCTGCTACAGGCCGTGGGTGCTCCCTTCCCCCCGGAACTCTCACCTCTCCCACGGCATTCACCACCGGCAAGTGCCGCAGCCCCATTGTCCTGAACAGGTTGAAAACTTGGGAGACGCTGCTGTTCGGTGACACGGTGAAGGGTGACGGGTTCATGTATGGGGTGACATCCTGCGGAGGAAAGACAACTAGCTTCCTGCGGCCGGCTCTGCCCTAACCAGGATGGGACGCAACCAGCACCGACCAGAGAGGTCCTTTCCCGGCCCGTCCTGGGGGACAGCCCCTCACCACTATCATCCGCGGGTTCAGCAGCGTCAGGTCCAGGTCGTGGATGTCAGGGTACCGTGGGTAATCCTCGGCCATCTCCGCGTAGGAAAGGCGCGGCTGGCTGGCGCTCTGCAAACCCAACCAGACACTGTCCTTGCAGCGAGTGCAGCAACAGGCAGGGTCACGTGTAGAGCCCCCCCCTCATCCGGTCTGTACCCGCCCAGCCATGGTCCCCCAGAGTGAGGGGGGGCGGGGCCGTGGCCGGAACACGTGCTCTGGAGTGAGACACAGTGATCCAGAGCCAGTTCCCAGCCTGCTCCCCGCTGTGTCCCCCAGGCAAGCCTCCTAATCCCCCCAAAGCTCCCTTTCCTGCACCTGTAAAGTGGACATGGGCCAGTGAAGTTTAAAGGAGAAAAGTGCTAACTCATAGTAGCTGTGTGGGTTGACTGGTGTGCCCCCCAAAGAGATGACCAAGTCCAACCCCGGTGCCTGTGAATGTGGCCTTATTGGAAACCAGGTCTCCGCAGATGTGATCAAGGTCAGACGAGGTCATATTGGATGGGGGAGGGCCTTAGATCCCATGGCTGCTGTCCTTATACAAAGAGGAGACACAGGGAGAAGACCATGTGATGAGGAGGGGGCGGTGATCGGTCTGCAGTCAGGAATGTCAAGGACCGCTGGCACCGCCACAGACCAGGAGGGTGAGAGAGGATCTCCCCTGGAGCCGCTAGAGAGAGTGTGGCCCCGCCGACACCTGGACTCTGTGCTCTGGCCTTGAGAGCTATGAAAAGCAAACTAGCCGAAACCGGTTTGGCTCAGTGGATAGAGCGTCGGCCTGCAGACTGAAAGGTCCCGGGTTCGATTCCGGTCAAGGGCATGTACCTGGGTTTCGGGCACATCCCCAGTAGGAGATGTGCAGGAGGCAGCTGATCGATGTTTCTCTCTCATCGATGTCTCTAACTCTCTCTCTCCCTTCCTCTCTGTAAAAAATCAATAAAATGTATAAAAAAAAAAAAAAGAAAAAGAAAAGCAAACTTGTTTGAAGCCATCTGTTAGTGGCAACCGGACGCAGCAGCCACAGCAAACTCAGACAACAGCTGTTACTTTCCTCCATCCCCAGTCTCACTGCTGCTGTCACTGGGCACCTGGGCCACCACAAGTGACCACACGTACTGGTCACTGCTCTGTCCCCGTCTTCCTCCCCTAACTCCACTCTGACACAGCTTTCTCCGTGCACCACTGCCTCCCAGTGCTGCACCGGCCGGCTCTGGCTGGTTCCTCCCTGCAGGCGAGGCCTCTGTCATCTGGCTTCATGCCTCTACTTCCTTGACCCCTGTGCCCCACTCCCAGCCAGGCGGGTCCTCCCCACAGACCACACACTCAGGGCCCAGGCTCTGCACCACGGCCCTCCCTGCCCTGCCCTGTTAGCTGCTCTTCTGCAGGCCACCTGGGCCACGAGGGACCCGAGGCTGACCCCTACGGACAAGGCCCGAACCAGGAGAGCCAGTTTGGAAACCAGGTCTCTAAGCAACATTTTCAGGCTCCTTTCTCAGGATGAGTGTGTGAGTGAGCGGGTCTCAGTGAGCGGGACCGCTCTGAACAACACCCCCACCCACCCGCTTCTCTCTACAAAAACCAAACAAAAGAGAGAAAGAAACTGCAGGGGAACTCACGGGAAGAATGGGACTTCCTCTGGTAACACATGTAAGAAGTTCATGCACACCAGAAACTAAAATGTAGAGACTATGAAAAGCCTGCAGGCTGGCAGGACACCTGACACAGGTGCAGAGACTGCGTGGAGAATGGGGGGACTCACCCCCCCACCTGGTGACCCGGGAGGACACCGACTGCAGCAGAGGGAAGCGGGGCAGCATGCGCCCCCTAAGCAGCTGCTGGCACATGACTCCGTCTCCCCTTCTCCTGAGGTGGAAGTGTGCTCCTACCCGCCTGCCTCCGGAATGCGGTGCAGGCAAGAGGCACTTACCGACTGGCTTTCGGAATAGCAAACTCCTCGGACGAGCAGGGTGACAAGTTGCGACCGCAGGATCAGGCCGTGGAAGGTCAGAGGGCGGAAGCGTTCCTCCATGGTCCAGTCTTCACTTGGGGACTGGTCAGGGTATAGGTTGGGGTAGGGAGTGTATCTGTTATATAAAAACCAGACGCTGCCTAGTATACCCTCAGCAGGACCGCGTTTCACCCACGTCCCAACCCACTCCCCAAATTCCCAAAAAACTCGGGAGCAGAGGGCCAGCCCTTCCTGAACCCCTGTAGGTGCTGGTGCCTGCGCGGTGGGAGGACCGTGCGCTCACCTTCGCTCGAGCATCTGCTGCAGGAGGTCCTCCTTCTCGGCCGGCTCCTCTGAGGTCACGTGCTCGTCACACATGTTCCGAAGCTCACTCGACGGGTAGGACTTCATGGACTGGCTGCGCCTGCGCTGCTCGCCGGCTCGGGTGAGGATGCTGGATTTCTGAGGGTGGGGAGGGGTGACGATGGCAGGGTATCCACCAGGGAGGCCCTGGACTGCTGCATGTGCAGGCACACCAACACATCACCTACTTAGCGTAAGGATTTGGGGGGCAGTGGGGATCAAAAGCACATGCCGACAGGAACTGCAGGAAATGCTGGCAGTGGCTCAGGGGCCGGTTCACAGGAGCCTCTGGGCTCCGCAGGGCTTGCTGCAGACCCTGTGGTTTCTGCCGGCCCAGCGTCCTTGCTCCTTGGATTTGGAAAAGCACCTCAATTGTCCAGTGGGGAACAAACCCTCTCCCAGCAAGCCCAGCGGTGGGCACACGACCCAGGTGAGGCAACGGGACTCTCCCTCTGCCTGGATATCAAACCGGGAGCAGCCCAAGGACAGAGAACAGCAGCTCTGAGGCCCGTTCTCCCAGAGGGTCCCCTCGCTGCCTGCATGCCCGAGCACTCCGCTCTGGCTCCTTCACTTCCTGTCGGTCCTGCTGCTTCCAACAACTGATTTCTTTTCCTCTCTTAAGTAGGGCAAAGTCCATTTCTGTGGTTGGCAACTCTAGAACCCTCACCGATCCAACTTGCAGGAATCCTGAAGACTGCTGATTAAAAACAAATCTGTCCCACCCAGCTGGTGTGGCTCAGCAGTGAGCACTGACCTATGAACCAGGAGGTCACAGTTCGATTCCTGGGTTGCAGGCTCCCATCTCCATTGTGGGGCGTGCAGGAGACAGCTGATCAATGATTCTCCCTCATCATTGATGTGTCTATCCCTCTCCCCCTTCTTCTCTGAAATCAATAAAAATACACTTAAAAACAGAACAAAACAAACCTGTGCCCGTGCTTACTGGGAGAATGGACACGCCCTGATGGCCTAACGGAGTCCACGCTCGCTGTTGAGTCTACACTCACTGTCGCACATAATGGGGTGCTGATTTCTCCTAAGAGCCACCCACCTGTGGGGCGTGACGAGCACCAGTCAGTGTGAGCACCATGGAACCATTGCCACCCACCCCTCCTCTCGGCTGTTTTCTCACCTTGAACTTGATGTTGTTACTGATGAGCTGGTTGCCCTTCATGAACTCCTTCTCGTTGCCCCGGTTCTCGGTGACCACCGGGAAGGCGTGGTGGACAGTGGTGCGTAGGATGCTGACCAGAGACTGGATGCGGGTATGCGGGTAGACGTAGGTCAGGTTGGGCTCCATGATGTCACTGGCTCTCAGTCTGCGGAGGGAGGGAAGCCATCAGCCCCACGCCTGAGCCCACGGCACCCGGGAGAAGTGCGATGGGCTGCACTGGCTCTCCTGCGGCACATGCCCTTCCCCAGGCCTGAAACGTCCTTCCCCGCTGTGTGTGGGCCTGGACTCATCCCTCGGCTCAACATGAAAAGTCCCCTTACCACAAACCCCTCTGCTTGCCCAGGGGACTGACCGGTCACCCCCTCCTCAGCACCCCATGGCACATTCCTCGTATCGCACTGAGTTGGTAATTACACTATTGGAATTAAAAAAAAAAAAGTCTGGTGTCCCTTTAGACCCAGATGGCAGCTGCAGCCACAGGGCAAGTCCCTGCCTGTCTTGTCTACATGCTGTCGACGCTGCCTCTGCATCACCAGGGCAGAGACCATGTGCCTGCAGAGCTGACAACACTGACTCTGCCCTTTACAGAGGCTTGAGGACCCTACGCTAGACCACAGGGACTTGTGTGGTACCAGACGTAGGAGGCCCAAACCATTTGTGGGCTGATGGATAATTTGGTGATTATAATACGAGATTTCGTTAGGCACACGCGAGGCAGGCTAGTTCTCAAACAGGGCTAGCAGACCCTTAGCTTCATCCTCACCTGAGGATATTTTTCCCATTGATTTTTAGAGTGAAAGGGAAGGAGGAGGAGGGGAGATAGAGAGAGAGAAACATTGATGTGAGGGAGACACATCGACTGGTTGCCTCCTGCACACGTCCTGACTGGGGTGGGGAGCAAACCTGCAACCGAGGTTCGACTAGGAATTGAACCCGCAACCCTTCGGTCCTCGGGCACCCTAACCACTGAGAAAAGCCAGCCAGGGCTAGCATGCCTGTAGTTTAGACATTCAATCCTAACACAGACTTTATGCACAGCCCTCACTTCCTACTGAACCAGAACACAGGACCGAAACAAAGCCATGCATCGGCCCTGCCCTCCATGCCCTGTCCCAGCTCCCAGCTCCCAGCCCCCAGCCACAGGAACTGCTCAATGTTCCCAAACATACTTGCTCTTTTAATGACCCCGTTTCACTTCATTCTCACCCAAGAATCTAAGTAGCCATTTCCTACCCTGATAGAAACATTCCTTGGGTCCTAGGATGTGACGAGACCTCATGGCCTCACCTGTCCATTTCCGCCTCTGTCTCCCACTCCAGAAGCGGCACTCCTCGCAGGCCCACGTGGATGTCGTAAATGCCCTTATTGAAAAAGTCCCCTGTCCACTTGGCCACCTGAAACACAAAGTAAAGACTTGAAAAGAGGCTGCTGTGGGGCGAACTTGGCCCTGAACCCGAAAGTGGACTAGAAGGGGAGTGCTCACCATCAGAGTGATCATAATGGGAAGCCCGTAAGTGATCTCATTGGTGGATTCGATCAGGATGACCGTGAGACTGATGGTCATACGGACGACCCCGCCCAGGAAAGCCGCGGCACCAATCAGGGCAAAGGTCCCCGAATAGACATGGCCCAAGCCAATGTAGCTGGTGAAGAGAGAAAACAAGAATGTGGCTTGGAATCATGCTGGGTGGAGGGGCAGGGCTACGGTTCGAGCACTTGCACATGTACACACGTGCACATTCATGCACACACGTACACACACTGTACCTTTTGAGGACATTGGCAACTAAACGTCCAAAAGCAGCTCCACACAGCAGAGAAGGCACAAAGAGGCCACTTGGAACAGAAATGCCGTAAGTCCAACACGCAAGCAAGAAATAAAGGATGAAGAACAAAGCCAAAGTGATGGGGCTGAAGGTACCTGCAAGGCAAGGACAGACTGAGCCCCACTGCCTGATGCCCGCCACGGCCCACCTTGGTCCCCACAGGTCCTTCTATCACCAACCAGGTCACCTCCAACACTGGAGGCAGAAAGGCTAATCTTGTCTGGGTTGGAATTACAAAGGGAAAGTCCTGTTTTTTGCTCAGAATTAAGGATAAGCCTGGCTGTATCTGAGGGCCAACAGAGGAGCACAGGCATGGGTAGGTGCACTGGGGCTCACCATCCTGGTGGAAGAGCTGAAGGATGGCGGACTCCTGGGGATTGAAGAAGAGGGTGGCCATGTCATTGTAGGTCTCATTGGGACAAAAAAAGGTCTTGATACTTGAATTCACATCTTCTGATGTGACCTAAGAAACAGAAATCAGTACAAGGTCAGCACCTGACCAGGGCACTTGAATCTTCGAGTGGGAGGTCCCCACCTAGGTTAAAAGAGTCTGGCATTCTTTCTTTTCCTGTAAATTAAACTGGTAGCAAAAACAGATTTAGACCCAAGAGCGGCCAACTGATACTGTGTTCCTTGCATTTTGAGAATGAATGAACCAAGATGCGGGCCCTCGCTCATCCACTCATAATGACACTGTAACTACAATGATGATTCACCAGGGAATCCGCCGTCTCTTCTCCCAGTGCTCATTTTGTGTGTGACACTCCTGGAAGCCTGGCTGGAAACCGCATGGACTAGGGGAAGATGAGGCAGGTGACAGACCAGTGGTTGGGAGCTGACAGCTTTTCAGAGGAGCTTCCAGGGTACGGCCTGACCTAATGCCCCAACTTTGGTTCCAAATGGAAAAAGCCTCCGCCCTGAATTTGCTGCAGAAGCTAAACCACTTTCACACGGTGCAGACACCGTGCTCCTGGCTGCCGCCCGCAGGCTCCACCTGGCTGAACAAAACCCCGACTGGGAAGAGATTACTTCTCCACATTTCAGACCTCCCACTCTCTCCATCATTTTGTGTAGGAAGATGAAATTCTGGTACTGCCTTGATCATTAGAGGGTAAGGGAATTTGGATTATGAAAGATCTTGTTTTCTTGTTATAAAGCTCAGTAAGGATATGGACTTTTCCTGGACCCCATTCTACGGATAACACTGTAGAGATGCCCTTATGTGAACACTGTAACAATACTAGGTGGACCGGGTGGTGGGTTTGGATAAACCCACCAGGTGAACCTGGCTGGCCAACACAGTTAGACGAAGGCTGCCTAGGAAATAGGACAGTGCCCCCTAGTGGTGGAACATGACAGGAAGAGCTGGCAAAGGAGAAACGTGTTTAGAACAGTAACCCGTGTTTAGAACAGTAACCCGTGAGCGAGCTGAGAGGACACACAGGCAGTGGTTCCCAAACTATGTCTGGAGGAACACCAGTCCTGAAGGCTCTCTGGAAAGTCCTGCAGTCAATGCACTGAGAGGCTCCAGAGCACCTGTTGGAAATCAGTTTCCACTAAAAGCAGAGCGCAGGGTCCATAACCAGAGAGACGGACACTCTAGCAACCTTAGCAAAGATATTTCATTTTGTGATGCTTCAGCTTTCTCATCTATAAATTGGGAATAATTCCCACCTCATGCTATATTTTACTAGCTGAGTGATCTTGGTCAAGACCTCACTTTGCCTCCATTTTCCCATCTGGAAAATGGGAATAATAACACCAGCCAACCTGGTAGTGGTAAGGATTATATGATCATGTATGGAAAGAGCTTGGTGGAATATCTGGCACAATAAACATTCCAAATATTCATAACTCTCCCTGGAATTTTAAGGGCCCTAGAAAGTCTGGCATTAAAGAAACTTATTTAATTCTGGTTAACCCATTTGACCACAGAATCCTTTTCCATTTGTTTCTAAATAATATAAATCAATGTTCCTTGGAACACATTTTAGAAATGTGGTCTGGTAACTGGTAATGGGTCAGCCACATTTTTCCGTAAAGAACCAGACAGTAAATATTTCAGCCTTTGCAGGCCATGGCCCATCTTCTCCATCTTTCCCAGCTCTTTAAAAATGTAAAAACCATTCTTAGCTTGGGGGTTCCACAGAAACAAGCGGGTGCGCAGGGCAGATCTGGCCTGTGAGCTATAGTTTGCCCATCTCTGATCTGATATGGTCTAGCTGCACCTGGACCGACCCTGGGGACACTAAAGCAGCAGCAAGACAAAGGCTCCAAAGGGGCTCTGAGGCACCGAGTGCCCGTCCAGGGACTGTAAGATGACAGGTACCTAGCACTCCCCTGGCTCCCCCTGCAGTCCAGACCACACAGCTGACCGACCACAGTCCAGCTCTCAGACCCACATCCAGGTTAGATCCAAAAACGCAGGGTAGAGTAAGCTCCAATCCTACCTCACGGACCTGCTCTTTCAGGGGAAGGTTCTGAAAAATACCATCCTCCTAAGAAGGGAAAAGGAGAAATGCGACAGGACGTATGCCAGTAAGTGCCTCGGAGCTGTGAGGAAGCAGGACTGCTGTGCTCCTGGGCAGGCGCTCCTTTCTCCCAGCCTAGAGCGAGCGACTCTCAGAAGGGGGCGCAGGGGAGGCTGGTAGCACATTCAGGTGTGGAGAGCGAGAAGGGAAACTGGGGCCGGAGAAGAAGCAGATGGTCCACTTCCCGAGCTTCTGTTTCCGATTAGTGTTGTTCAACAGAGAGAGAGACAGACAGACAGAGACAGACAGGAGTTCCCCTCTATGATAACCAGGATCATCCACAAACACGAAAAAGACGGAGGTGCACATCCTCTCTCCTGTGAAAAGGCGACTGCACATTCCTCTCTCAGCAATCTGATCAGGTGGGAACCATGAACCCAACACATTCCTGAGCTCTAAGAGGCACGCCACCCATTTCTGGACCCTTGTTGCGGATGCAGGACACAGGGAGCAGGTGCACTGGGGTTACCTGGAGCAGGAGCGAGTCATTCCCAATTTGACTTGAAGACATCTGTCGGCATTCTCCTAACACCATCGAGGCCACAAACACCACCACGGTGGTTACCAGAGACACCAGGAGGCTCTCTAAGACTCTAGGAAGCAAAGGACAGCTGTTACAGGTAGTAAGACAACCCCTTCTAGGGAACTCAAATACACAACCCCGCCTACCCCTAACCCCTTTCTCCCCAAGAGCATGTGTAGGAGCCCCCGCCAGTCAGCACGTGCAGAATCTGTCAGCGACTTGCTGCGTTCAGCAATTCCCATGTAAAAAGTGGGCGGCCAGGGACAAGGCTGCTGCGTCCACACCATCTCTCTCCAGGGAACAAAATGCCTTTCATTTTAGGTCCCAGGGGTGAGAATCGCACTGACTTTCTGACTGTCATGCGTCCGAGTGGAAGTCAGGTGGGGCGGGAGGCAACCAGCCACTCGGTTATAAATGAAGCTCAGACTCAGCCTTTAGGCCTGACAAATACAGTGGACACGACCCCTTCTACATTCTGCCTCAGATGTGAAGTCAGAGCTGGTGTGGAAAGCAGGGTCTGTTCACACCATCGCCTCCCTCGGGGAGACGGCCCATCCACACGGAGCTCGGGGAGCCCCGCAGGCTGGGGGAGGCGGCTGCGCAGGTACCTGACGAGCTTAGGCTTCGGGTGCACGTTTCGCATCCGGTACTTTGCAAGCCTCTTGTTCAGACAGTTGAATGTGGCTCCCAGGAGGCCCCCAATGACCCCCATCAGGACGAAGAAACCCAAATCCACAGCTGTCCAGAGGTGACATTTTTTATCAGAGTCAGAGCACTGAGAGAAGGGGCAGGAAAGGGAGAGAAAAACCATGGTGCCCATGAGAACAGGAAGGGGTGGAGGCGGAGCAGACAGACACAGGAGGGGAGGCTGCCTTCTCTCTTCAAGAGCCAGCGCAGTGCAGGGCCTGCCCACACCGGGCAGAGGCACCCACAGGAGGCTACAGGGGCAGAGAGCCCCACCAGAAGCTGCCCCTGATTGCTTCTATCTGGTACATCACTTAGAGCAGTGGTTCTCAACCTTCTGGCCCTTTAAATATACTTCCTCATGTTGTGACCCAACCATAAAATTATTTTCGTTGCTACTTCATAACTGTAATGTTGCTACTGTTATGAATCGTAATGTAAATATCTGATATGCAGGCTGGTCTTAGGCGACCCCTGTGAAAGGGTCGTTCGACCGCCAAAGGGGTCGCGACCCACAGGTTGAGAACCGCTGACTTAGAGCAATTGTCACCAGTCAAGCAAGAAATTCTGGGGGCCCTAGCTGGTTTGGCTCAGTGGATAGAGTGTCGGCCTGCGGGCTGAAGGGTCCCAGGTTCGATTCCAGTCAAGGACACATGCCCGGGTTGCAGGCTCAATCCCCAATAGGGGGCATACAGGAGGCAGCCAATCAATGATTTCCTCTTATCATTGATCCCTCTCTCCCTCTCCCTTCCTCTCTGAAATCAATAAAATATATATATATTTTTCAATAAAATATATATATATATATTTTATTGTAATATATATATATAAATTTTGTAATTGCATCTTATTTTTTAAAAAAAAGAAAGAAATTCTGGGGGAAAAGGACAAAGCATACCTTGAACTCGCCAAAGTTCAGCAATCCAGGGAGCTGGAAGGAGCCCCAACTTCCAAACTGAATCCCAGAACGAAAGAAGTTGAGGGTGAAGGTGGCAGACATGGAGCAGAAGAGCTAGGGACAGGTGACAAAAACAAGAACATTCAATAGCAACAAGTCCTACTTCCTCCCTGACCCTCCTCATAACACCTGCTGCTCTACACAGAAACCTGCCGACTCCAGGCCCGGTACAGGTGTCCGGTAACCACGGCAAGAAAGGCACCCCATGTGGACAACTGGACCACAGGCCACAGAAGCTTTCATTTCAACAGCCTGTTGTGAGATCTATTTACTTAGAGCCAGATACACACTGAATCCTGTGCCAAGAGAAAGAGTGAACATGAGAGGAAGAACGCGCTACTCTAACGTAGGAGTCAGGGTTCAAGTCTGGGCTCTGCCGCCGCCTGATGACCAGTCCCATGCCTTCACGCCAGGTGGCTCATCAACAAGAGATGGTACTGGCAGTTTGATGCGGGGGATGGGAGCGTGTGCATACGGAAAGCACGGGAAAGCCCACAGTCTGGCAGTTACGGGCGTCTAAAGCAAAGGACTGGGCTCATCAGAACTACAGCTTAAACGGGGTGGTTATGTCCAGGAGAAGGTTGTCCTTGGAAGTCCTCCTCACCACTTTCCACGTGAGCCCTTGGTTCCAGAAGGACGAGCCCTCCTCCAGACTGAACAGGGTCCCCCCAATGGGAGCCCCGAAGGCTGCAGCGACGCCAGCAGCTGCACCTGCTGATACAAAGTCCCGCTTGTCTCTGAGGAGAGAAGAGACAGACGCTTTATTGGACAAAGAGCCCTCAGGCCACAAAAGCCGGTTTTCCCTGCCTTATTTGCCAATGTTTGTGTGTGTTTTTTAATTGATTTTGAGAGAGAAAGAAATGTTGATCTGAGAGTGAAACATCGATCAGCTACCTCTTGCACACCCCAAGTGGGGATTAAGCTTGCAACCTGGGCATGTGCGCTGACCAGGAATCAAAGAAGCAACTTCTTGGTGCATGGATGACGCCCAACCAACTGAGCCACACCGGCCAGGGCCTTATCCGCCAACATTTTATCTCATGAAGGACCCATGAAGTCAGGGTTTGAAGCAGGCCAACTGGGCAACGAACAGGTTCACCTGAGAGCCAGATCCACTCCGCAGCCCGAGTTCCTCCAGGAGAGAGGCCCCCTCACACCAGTCTCCTCTGAAGATGGAATTTCAGCCCCAGCTCAGTCCCCGCTGAGCTACACTCTCCCCAGATCTTCCTTCCAAAGGGCACAGCGTCATGAAAAGGCCAAGTGCTGGTGACATGCGGAGGAGCAGGTGACAATGACATGCGGAACACCAAGGCGGGAAGGTAGACCACAGCTCTGACCCGGGGCCGATTCCAAGGGCCTCGTGCGCGGGCCAGTTTCACACACGCAGATTCCACGGGGCAAAAAGTTCCGAGAAGAGCACCTGCCCACCCGGGGCGGCGACCCAGCACACTGCTCTGGAATATGGACGATGCTCTCGCGAGTAGCTGTGGATGTCTCGGCCGTGCTTTTCACCGCCACTGCCTGAGATGCTTCCAGGCCTTAGGTCATGACACAGTGACAGCCACGAGACCAGCCGGGCCCTGGTTGCTTATTCTCAGGACAGTAGCTCAAAGCCCACCTTCTTTCTGACACCGGGTTTTGCACGTAGCCTGCCCAGCAGGGGAGGCAATAAGCCAGCTAGAGCAAGTATGGGGTCTGAGAGGCAGTAAATGGACAGTTTATTTTTTTCAAGAGAATCCAATTCTGCCCTGGCCAGTGTGGCTCAGTGGTTGGGTGTTGTCCATGCACCAAAAGGCTGCCTGTTTGATTCCGGGTCAGGGCACATGTGCAGGTTGTGGGCAGGAAGCAGCCAATGAACTTTCTCTCTCCCTCTCCCTTTCCCTCTCTCTGAAAAACAAACAAACAAACAAAAAAAACAACCTTTAAAAAAAGAAAGTCCAATTCCTATTATCAACAAGATGAGTAATAATAAGTGGTGGGGAGGTTGGGGAGAAAACGGAACCCTCATCACGGCTGGAGGGAATGTAAACTGGTGCAGCCTCTATGGAAAACAGTATGGAGGTGCCTCAAAACATTAAGAGAAGAGTTCCTATATCACCCAGCAATCCTTCTTCTCGGTAGTTTTTAACCGAAAAATTTGAAAACATTTATTGGTAAAGGTTTATGCACCCTATATTCACTGCAGCATTATTCACAGTGGCAAAAGACATGGACACAACCAAAGTGTCCTTCAATGGACAACTGGATAAAGAAGATGTGCATTCTATATAATAAAAGGGTAATATGCACATTGATCCTAAGGGCGGAACAACCGGTCACTATGACGCGCACTGACCACCAGGGGGCAGATGCTCAACGCAGGAGCTGCCCCCGGTGGTCAGTGTGCTCCCACAGGGGGAGCTCCGCTCAGCCACAAGCTGGGCTGACAGCTGCAAGTGCAGCGGCGGTGGTGGGAACCTCTCCCACCTTCTCGGCAGTGCTAAGGATATCCGACTACGGACATCCCCTGAGGGCTCCTGGGCTGTGGGCCTAAGTTGGCAGGTGGACATCCTCCGAGGGGTCCCAGACTGCAAGAGGGCGCAGGCTTGGCTGAGGGATCCCCCGCCCTGAGTGCACAAATCTTCGTGCACCGGCCTCTAGTATATACATAATAGAATACTACTCAGCCATAAGAAATGAAATACTGCCATATGTGACATGGATGGACTTTCAGATTATGCCAAGCAAAGTAAGTCAATCAGGAAAAGCTAAGAACTGTATGATTTCACTCATCTGTAGGATATAAAACTGAAACTCAGACACAGACAACAATATGGTGGTTACCAGACGGAAGGGGGTGGGAGGTAGTAAAGGGAAAGGGAGCCAAATGTATGGTGACGGAAGATGACTTCACTTTGGGTGATGGTAAAACAATGCAATATACAGATCATGTAGCCTAGAAATCTACACTGGAAACCTATATAATCTTATTACCCAGTGTCACCCCAATAAATTTAACTTAAAGAAAAGAAAATCCAATTCCTAACCTTTCCATACCTGTCACTTCGGAAATAGGGGAAGTTAAACTGGATCTTCCGGAAGGAGATGCTCTGAAACTAAAACAAGAGAAAACCAAGTCAGAGGGGGGCCCACAGGCCACCTGCAGGAACCCCGCGGGAGCCCCCGCCTTGAGCACAGCGGGCAGATGTGCTGCCGAAGGGAGAGTCCAGAAGAGCAGCCTGGGAAAAAGAAGCTGTCTCTGGGAGGAACTTCCTTTCCTGCCCCTAAATTTCTAGGCTCTTCCGAAATTGCATTTTGTACATAATCAACAAGTCAGAAAGAAAATGGGGAAGGAAGCAGCTGAGAGAAGGGCTGGGAGGAAATGAAAGCTGCTGCAGAAGATACCGTGAGCCCTGCTCAGGCGTGGCAGTAAGGAAGGGCCCACGCACCACCTTCAACCTGTCCCCCGAATGCTCACGCTGCCACCGTCCCTGCCCCCTTCTGGGAGGCCGGGGCTGGCTGGGAGGGTGAGGCAGCAGCAGAGAGAGAGAGCAGAAGACAGGCTCTGGGCAAGTCTTCTCTCCTTGGCTTTGACCACTCACTAGCATCATTCCCTCCTCTCAGGACGAGAGAGGAACATGCCCACAAGTGACGGACCACAAGGAACCGAGGTGTCTCCAACCTGCAGCCCGAATCGGATAGCCCGTAAGGATGGGAGCTTCGCCATCCTGAGCTAGCTCCTCACCCTGTGTTATTAGTCCTGTGCTACCTCGGGTGCATGCAGCACAGCCGTGCCCGGAACCACCTCAGACGTGCTTCTAGCATCTTGGGATAGGGCAGCGCTGAGCTGACCCACTGAGCCACCTTCCATGGAGGCGCCGGGCAATGGCTGTGGGAGCACCAGGTGACTTCATTTGAACAGACTTTCTCTATGTGCCATTCCTGTTCCTAGGGCCTAGTTAAATCTCTGGGGTACCAGTTACCCCCTCTCCGAGACAGGCCACATCGTTTTTACATCAACCCAAACTGACATCAGACTCCAAAGCCACGTTAGGGTGCTGCCGATGGATTTTCTTCCAGACTGACTCACAGAAGCCCCTGCCTGGGAGACCACTGTAAGGGACTCACCTTCCCAACCCAGCAGCCTTACCTGAGGGAGGCCAGCGCCCACCACGGCTCCACTGTGGATCATGGGGCCTTCCTTCCCCACAAAGAGCCCTGGGAGCAGGTGGAGAAGGAGACCATCAGTCAGCACAGAACCACTCTAGCTGGGGAGACCTCTGCTGTGTAAACCTTCCTCTCGATAAAACAGAGATGCTCCTGTGACTGTCTAACAGAAAGAGTCCAATTCCCATCGAATAAGAGAAAATACTCTTTAAACTCTTAATTGGGCATCAGCAAACTACAGCCTGTGAGCCAAACGGCTCGCTGTTTTTGTACAGCTGGCGAGCTAAGAATAATTTTTCCATTCTCACCTGGATATGTTGTAAATGGTTATGTAAATTTAAGCACCTAAATAATATTTTCAATTTTGCCTTTTTGGATCACAAAGCCTAAAACATTGACTAGCTGTTTACACAAAAAGCTCACTGACTTTGCTAAAAGCCAACTCCATAAACCAACTGGATGGTGGGTCTACTTCAAAACCTAATGTGTTACGCAGAGAGCTCTGAATGGTAACTAACAGGTCTGCATTGAAGAAACTAAGCCATGGAAGGAAAGTAGAGAGATCTGTTAAGGGCAGGCCCTCCAATCCAAATCTACTTCATTTACATACAGAATGCTTCTTGTCCTCTTCACCCTTTGAAGAAAAGAAGGGACCAGTCAGAAACACCCCCCTTACCTCCAGCCACACTGAACAGCACCCCGAAGACTTTGCAGACCAGGGTCCGGAGACGGACGATTCCGGGCACCTTCACCCCATTCAGATAGCACTTGATCTCGGGTATTCCAGAACCTGCTGCCACTGGCTGGAAGAGGAGGCACACCCGTACACTCAAATCCATCGCCCTCCCCAGAGGGACGGCCTGCTGGCCTGGGTTTCCGACTCAGCAGGTCTGAGGGGGGATGGGAGGACGTGCACTTCTAAAAAGTTCACAGTGATTCAGCATCACCTGCGGAGCCTTCAACAATCCATGCAGGCGCCCCGCTTCCGGAGATCCTGAGCTCACTCACGCGAGCTGGGGCCCGGGGGCCAATCATTTTTAAAGTTCTCCAGGGAATCTACCCTGATGTGCTCCCCAAGGTGGAGAACCACCCTCCTCATCTAGATGTTTGCTCTTTAATCTCACCACAGGCTCACACTTGACTTTCAGAAACATTTCTAAGTGAACGAGAGGCCACTTTCTGCAGGAATCTATATTCCAAGTCGAATTCAGTTCTCTCAGCTCCCAGTCATGGCGATGGAGATGAGGAGTGTAGGACCCAAAGTCTTGACAACAAAAAGGCCTCTTACCTCAATTAGGACAAGAAGACTCCCTAGGAAGACAAAGGTCAAGTTGAAACCCAGGAGTTCAAGGAGGGACAAGGCGAGGCACCCTTTCTGGCTGCATTCCTCCACCGCTAGAGAGTGAGTTAAGGAACCGTGCTCCCCAGCCACGCCAAGGCCTTTCCTGCAAACACCCGACATGGGGCACCTCCTCCTCTTGAAGTGCTTACTGCGCCTCTTCCTGTTCTCCACGTCACGTATGAACAAGAAAACTGCCTGAGATGTCATCTACACTAGGCACCGTTTCTCATTATGAAATGCTTCAAACATTGCGAAGAGTAACCCTCACCCGTACCTTCCCAGCCCTACCTTTAATAAATCTCAGGGTGGTAGCATATTTGCTTGATACTTTTAAAAATTAAAACGTTAAGAGAGCCCATTTTTGTGGCTGACCTGCTGCTCTCCCATGCTGCTGGCAGTACTGGAATAAATGCTCATGTATGATTCAACCCGCTCTGCTTAATTGGCTCAAGTAGTGACAGGCAGCCCGGACCCACTGATTGTCCGGTAACATATTCTGGCGACCAGGAAGGGACGTAAGCGAGAGACTCGTCTGGAGTGAGTGTGCTTGCTGCCTGGACTGGGAGTTCCTGGGGCTGAGGCCTGGACTCCTAATTGCAGTGCTGTCAGGAATGTTCATTTTGAGTTCCAGGTGCAGCCTCAGCAATCCCTGTCGTCTCACCTGAGACCTAAGTTGAATCAAGCGTTTTTGTAGGAGGAATCAAGCGTTTTGTGTGGCATGAGCAGTGGCTGCCTCTCGTCTGGGCTTCCTTGTAAGGATGGATGCACTGTGTATGGCACAGGAGGCATTTTACTGCCTCTCGTCTGGACGAGCCGGGTCAGCTCCTGATGGTAAGGACCTCCAGTGGTCCTTGCCTGGTCTCCGAGCCCTTCGTCTGACCCACTCTGGCATGAGACATTGCTCTGCTTCGGTCAGTTTTAAATGCAGGGCATTCTGAGGTGCCTGTGGCTGGACAGACAAGGAGCATGGTGTGACGCTCTTGCCTGTAAATATTGTACATAGAGTGTCTCTGCTGATTGTTGTTTTGTGTCTTTGGTTTAATTTGTTTAAAGATGGGGCATATCCTATTTTGCTAGGGGCTCCAGCTACCCGTGGCAGGGACTGCAGGAACTTCCCAGCAGCTGCCAAGAATTCTTAATCTTGGGGACCCTTCCTGCTCTCCCTCTCAAGGCATCAGCCGCTGGAAACTCTAAGCTGGGGAAGTTCTTGTCTGTAATGGAACTTGGTTACTGATGTTCTTTGCTTGCTTTCTTATCTTTGGGGGACTTAGTTTGCTCTTCGCTGGTTTATGAACACAAGGAATCCTCTGTCTGCTGTTTGGGCTTGCCACTCAGAACCCATGTGCTGTGCTGGGTTAGTGTGAGAGAAGATTCTAAGGCTAATGTTCCAGTCCACCCTTTTCAGAATATTCATCTATTCACTGTAGGGGTTTTTGTTTGCTTGTTTGTTTCTGTTTATTTTTAAAAGCTATCTTCTTATATGCAAGATTTCATGTTGTTAGTCTACTCAGAAATAAAGATATGGGAGCTAAACCTTCTGAACGCCCCCCTCCCCCCACAAGTTCTTTTCCTAAGAGGATCAGATCTGCAGAAGTGCCCCCCAGCAGACTACAAAAATAGCAGTGGAGGGCCACTTCCATCTTTGTAAGAAAAAATAAAATAAAATAGTACTTTCACATTAAAGCCACCTAAGGCTAGTGAGTTATCCCTGTTAAAAAAAATTGGTCTAGAAAATGCCTTGGGTAATAATAATTGGCTTTAAAATCTCAAAGTTGTTAAGACAAAATGAAATAACTAAAGTGAAGGGTTTATGATAAAGCTTTTTTAAAAGTGATAATTATATATACCTAAACATAGTTTTCCAAAGTCTTTGGTAACTAAAAACTTTGGAGTTTGCAGGGTTAAGTAGTAAAAATTGTTAAATATCTAGGTATTTTGAAATATCAGGATACTGAACTATTAATCTGAGTTTGCCTCGTATGAAAAATCTAGAGGGTGGATTTGAATCTGTTAATGAATAAGTCTTGTATTTTATTTGAAATATCTCTTAAAAATGTGAATGTATTGCTAATCTGAGGAATATTAATTACTTACATGTCACCTAAAAATTAAGGTTTCTAAGGTTAAGAATTCTAACTAATTGGAAAGAAATGATGGTTTTGGTGCAATAGAAGGCATGCGGCATGGAGATGCATTTTAAAGGAAAAGAAAGTGGGTTCTAAAGTTGGTTATTTTTGAAAGTTGAAAGGTTTGTGAAAGCTGTAAAATATTTGTAAAAAGAAATGTTGAAAGGAAGTTATATAAATGACACAGGCCAATAAGCCAGGAGTAGTAGTAGAATAGGGAAATTGAGATGGTCAGACAGCAATTGGGAGCCAAATCTTATCTTCCCTAAACCAAGGACACTTAAGAGTAAATGACTTGCACTTTGCCTCCCTAACCAGAGGGTAAATAGCTAATATCAACCTACTCAGGAGACAGACAGCAGAAATCCAATCAGTGTCATTTACTGACCACACCCAAGGACAAATGAAGTTACAGAATAAACCTCATTTTAGTTAGTTCTTTTCTAGTCTATTAAAAGGGAAAAGGTCTTTCCTGCTTTTGCCCAGGAAGCAAAAGTTCTATAAATTATGGAAATAGTTGTATGTTATATTAATTAGGCACTTTTTTTCATTAAAAAAAAAAGTCATCTTCTTAATCATGGGAACTAAAGTTTGCTAGCCTATGATTGTGTCTAATACCCTTTTGTCAATTTGATTTATGATCTTTTGGTAAAATAAGTTTGACAGCCGAACCGGTTTGGCTCAGTGGATAGAGCGTCGGCCTAGGGATTCAAGGGTCCCAGGTTCGATTCCGGTCAAGGGCATGTACCTGGGTTGCGGGCACATCCCTACTGGGGGCTGTGCAGGAGGCAGCTGATCGATCTCTCTCATCGATGTTTCTACTCTCTATCCCTCTCCCTTCTTCTCTGTAAAAAATCAATAAAATATATGATCTTTTGGTAAAATAAGTTTGACAATCTTTCCAAGGTTTGAATTTTAAGAAACTTTTCTTGACCTAGAATTGGCTTTAGGTCATTCCTATTGGCCCTGAAATGCCTCAAGAATTTCTTTTCTCTCATGAAGGAAAATTTTCTGCTTAAGGCACATGAGAAGCTTTGTCAAATAATAATAACTATATTATGCTTCCATTTATAGCTCTAATTGTTATCCTGGAATATTGTGTTTTACAGAAAGGACAAGATTCCATGTCATTCACATTACTCTAAAGTATCTGGATTTATAGAAGTACTGGCAGAAAAAATCAGGAGAAACAAAAATTTGATTATGGGACTGAATGAATGGAAAATAATTATACAGTTTTTGTAACTTTTGTTGAAAGTATTGCTGATTCTTGAACTTTTTGTTTATCAGATATAAGGTAGCATTTTTAAAGCAATTTGGTAAATTATATATTTTTCTCCCTGCCTGTCCTTCCAGAATTTGGCAATTCTTAATAAGTGGCAATACGTTCTTTGCATGAATTCAATAAGACCTGTTTCTAATTGTGGCTGTTAACCAAGACTTTGACTAGCGTGTCATGCCTGCAGAGACATGCCTGGATTCTGGATGTCACCAGAAAGCTTTAAGGAATGAAGCCAATAGAGCACCTTGGAGAAAGCCTGGTACCTTGCCTGGTCACAGGGTTCATGGCAGTCTTTCCAAGTAAGGAACAAAGGCTGCTTTCCTGAGAGATGGCAAAGAAGGAACCTCAAGACATCACTGGGGACCTCAACTTGAGGAAGTCACCCATATCTACAGGTATTGCAGGCAAACCTGATGGCAGCTAGGTGGCTCAGCGTCTTTGCCCTGCGGGGCTACTTAAAGCTTGATCATGAAATTCCAGGAAAGCGTATCTTTTTAAAATAGCCTATGTGATCAACGGTTATTCTTATTGTGTTCATGCAAAAAATCAAGCCAAATGGTAACTAGACTTAATACAGTAAATAAATTGGTTTTAAGTTGGCTCTTTAATAAAAATGAGGGTGATTTTAAAGAGAAAAATTGTGTTTCAATAGGAAATTATTAGAACTGAAATGTTTTTTTCTTTTACCAGACTATTGCCGTAATTCTTGCTATTCTAACTTTTGCCCAGTAATATTAAATTTTATAACACAGTTTGACTCCACCAGCTGACAAGCCCTACTCACACTCAGGGAATACCACCTCTAGACACCCTGCCACCTCCTTCCATGCCCAGCAAGCACCTCTTGGCTCTGAAGGAAAAACTTCGCCCCTCCTCAGCATGCAGCAGTTACAGAAGAGACCCTGTGCCCCTTTTCTCTGGAAGAATTCGGAGCCAAGATCCTTGAGAGCATGTGGTAGGCAGTTAGACCTGAGCAGAGCAGGGACGATGGGCCAACTGGAGGAGAAATGGACAAGACCCTGAGGCGTGCTTCTCACCACTCCAACTGCTCTGAAGCTGGCAGTGGAGGAACCTATATAGATCTGACCTTTACCTTGCTGAGTAGGAGTTGGGACACCTACTGATAATATATAGACTATTCCATTCATTTTGGGGAGAAAGTCACAGATGGGGACCTTTATATGTTGGGACCCTGTCTGGGAAAAGGATGCAGGGATGTTTCCTCTAAAAGTTACTGCAGTCGTTCCCTATGGTGAATGTCTGACTTTTACCAGGTGTTCTAGCTATTGTCCTTAAGTATCTAATAACTACAATATGAATTGTTCTGATAATTTCACCCTCCCTTATAGTAATGGACATACTAAGATGCTGGCTGGTGGGTTTCTGATATGTGGGTAACTATTTATCCCTGTTAACAGCACCAGGGGGCCCTGTTCCATAGGATGACTGACTGTCTTTATGACTCAGAAACATCACAGGGTCTAAACCAAAAGAGACTTTCTCAAGCCCGAGGCACCGGACTGCAATGACTGTCCCCACCTGTGAGCCTGCTGCCTATATTGCTTTGACCATTTTTGTTATGCCGGTAATGGTAGGCTCCCTTAATGCAAAAGTGACCCGGCTGGCTTGTGGCAGGGTAAAAGCCGTAATGCCACCTCCAGGGATATACACGGGATAAAGCAAGAGCTGAGCCAGGTCAGGGAGGCAGTTCTAGAGAATTGGGCAGCAATAGATTGTTCGCTGTTGCAGCATAACCATGGTTGTAAGGAATGTAAAGGAATGTGCTGTTTTAATCTTCCTGACAATTGTTTATAGAAAACATATCCAAGATCCTTCATTTATTTCGTGTATTCCTTCCCTGGGAACTACTTTCAAGGCAGAAGCAGATGCAGTTCCAGCAGGATGAGACTTTTCATCTAAAACTAATTCATAGATATGAGATGATAGAAATAGCAGTGGGGAAATGTTAGGGGCAAAAATAGAATATTGGGGACTAGCTATGGTTATGGAAAATATTAATCATGCTCTGTTAGCCATGACTGCCTTGTGTTGGTTAAAGAAAGGACATTCTGATCTGGCTGGGAATTGTACGCCCCAGGACCTGGGAGTGAACCTTGGACCTGGGAGTGAACCTTGGACTGGGAGTCAATCTTTGAATGTGGTCCATTCTCATTCAAGAACTGCCTGTTATCATGGAAAGGTTAACAACCTTGTGCAAACAATGGAGTCCTACCCCAGCCTCCTGCTTCCCCAGTATAAGCAGCTGGCTGATGGGGGGCTGCAGAGCAGATTTTTGTGGATGACCTGCTGCTCTTCCGTACTGCCAGCAGTATTGGAATAAATGCTTATATATGATTTTAAAAAATTAAGACATTAAGAAAAACACCTTTATGTTTCTGTCCCTCTCTCCTCTGGGAGAAAACACTAACTACCCTGAAATTATCGCGCTGCCTTTCCTCTGTGAAAATGTAAATGGAATCACTTTAAAGTGGAGGCGGAGCTGCCATCCCAGAGGAACTGCCTTGCGGCTGTACTACTCAAACCCTAGGAATGTTACCACCGGGCAAATTAACTCTTGGACTGGGCCTAAGGCAGAGGTTTCCAAACAACTGTTTACAAAGATAACAAGAAAGCACACATTACACCAAGAGCATCATTTACGTTAAAGACATCCCTTCCTTAGCTTACCAGCACCCAGAGAAACTTCTTCCTCCTACTGATGTAATCGCCCCCCTTCCCTTTCTCATAAATACCCCTCGCCTTTGCCTCCCAACAGCAACACGATTGGGGCTTCTGCCTGAACCAGGGCTTCCCAAACAGCTATTCTCTGAATCTGGAATAAATGCTTGTCGCCTTTCACTTTGGCCTTTTAGTCTTAGGTTAGCACTTGTTTTTCAGATGTATCCTTGCTTTGTTTCAAAATTAAAATATGGTATTGTATTTTAGGCATATACTCCAACTTCCTCTCTCTCAGTTGATGCCTGTTCTGAGAATTACCCATGTTGATAAACAGTTCTGGTTTGCTCATTTTAACTTCTGTATCAGATGAACATACCGTAATTTTTCCATTTGGGGTGATTCCAACTTTTCGCAATCACAAAGCTGCGGTGCACATCTTCGTACATGTCTAAGGCCCACAGCCGGGAGAGGCATTCACGAGTCATGGGAAGAAGCAGCTTCCTGTTTATTAATTTCCAGTTCCCTAACCAGTGGTGAGGGGAGCACTTTTGCACAGGTTTATTGGCTGTTCAGTTTCCTCTCCTGAGAATGGCTGTTCGACACCTTTGCCAGATTATTTATTGGGCTGTTGGGCTTTATTTCTTAGGGTTGTAGTTCTCCTCTATTCTGGATACGAATTATGTCCCTTAAATGCACAGTGAAGAACCTCGTTGAGGCTGTGGACTTTTCACTTTGTTTACATTATTGTTTTGGGTTTTGTTTGTTTGTATAAATAGAATATTGACTTCGATGTGATCAAGTTCTCTGATCTTTTCCCTTTCACTGTGTGCCTTCTGGCGTTTTAAGAAATAATTCCCTACCCTTTTAAAAAAATTTTGTTAATTCTCACTTGAGGATATTTTTTCCATTGATTTTTAGAGACAGGAGGGAAGGAAGGAGAGAGAGAGAAAAACATCGATGGGAGAGAAAATTGATTCGTGGCCTCTAGCCTGAGCCCCTACCGGGGCCAGAGATGAAACCTGAAACCCAGGCACGTGCCCTTGCCTGGGAATCAAACCCGAGACCCTTCAGTGCTAGGGCCAACATTCTAACCACCAAGCACCACCGGCCAGAGCTGATTCCCTACTCTTTACATCATACAGTCTCTTAAAGTTTCATTTTGCCTATTTATCTCTTTAATCCATCTAGAATTAATTTCTAGTACAAAGTAGGAATCTAATTATGTTTTTCCAGATGGTTAACCTACGTTCCAGCATCTTTTAAGTGACCCATTTTATCCTCACTGATTTATCACATGGGCTCAGTCATTCACTGCACTTCTACACCCCTAAAGGCCAGTTTCTGCTTCTCCACTATTTTCCATTGTCTGGGTGTTTCTGCACCAATGTGACACTGTTTCAATGACTATATCTTAAATTATATAAGTCTCCTGCTTATTCAAAACTATCTCAACTACTTTTGGCTCTTGACTCTTCCAAACAAACTTAGGAAGAGAATTTTCAAGTTCTATGAACAATTCTATTGCACTTTCATTGGAACTACATTGCATTTATAGATTGATTGGGGAAAGCAGGCATCTTGGTGGTTTATGTCTTACCAACCATGAACGTATCTCTTGATTTATTAAAGTGTTCTTTCTGTGTCCTTCAATGATAAACACCTTAAAGCCGAATGGCTAATAATAGCTCTCCACAGATCATGTCTACTGTTCAACTCATTTCTAGACAAGAAAGCACAATCAGAAACCGCGAAAAGGATACATGTCTGTACCACTCCAAACTTGAGCTGCGTGAAGAGGCGCACAAAGAAGTCCACAAAGAGACCCACCTGGGAAGAGCAAAGGAGCGTCAGTCACACAGCTTCCTGGTGTGTTACGGGCACTGCCCTCAAAAGCACAGACTTCCCCCACTGCATTCACGGTGCACGCACGCCTGCTGCGCACGCCCACCTGCGTTACCAACCAGCAGTGGGTGGATGGGCTTTCGTTAGTCACTCTGGCTCTGCAGAGGCCCCGCTCCAGCCTTGCCCCACTGCCCACTAAAGAACAAAATAATGGAGTACAGCTACAATGAGAGGAGCAAAGTAAAACAGAGAGAAAATTATGCAGAAAAAGATGTGAGACCAAGGAAGACCACTGTGTCTAGCGATGCTTAGCTAGATAAGCACAGAGCTTAGATTACTTTGAAAAAATCAACAGCAAACTTTTAAGTTGATTTGAGAGAGAGAGAAACATTGATGTGAGAAATATCAATCAGCTGCCTCCCATATGGGCCCTGACCGGGATTGAACCCACAACCTGGGTATGTGCCCTGACTGGGAATCGAACTCAACATCTTCAGGTGTATGGGATGATGCTCCAACCCACTGAGCCAATCTGCTCTGGGCTAGCTTAAATTACTTTGTACGACAACATTCACTTAGCTGTATATGGGTTTTGCAAGTTGGTTATTTCTATTTCACGTAAGTCACTACTTTGACTTTTAACTGTCTTATGTAGTCAATGATTGCCCTGGTCAACCACTCTTCCACTCTCATAAGTCTCTGCTCTGGGCTTAAAGGAGAACTGGAAAGACTTCTGATTTTGTAGATTCAGGATCAAAGGATTCATGCCTTTAACTCCAGACTTCCCTCAAGCCAATGCTGAGGCTTTGAACATTAAAGCAGTAAGTGGTGACAGATCAAAGGACAAGAGAGCCAGTAGCGAGAGGAACAGGTAGTACATTATAAAGGCAGGTCTGCCTGTCTTTAACATGAGGGTGGGAGGTAAAGCTGTTACTATTGATAAATGGCAGTTCAAAGGAGTTTGATATGAAAGTGGCAGAAAGACTAACAACTAGATAGCTAATGACTATGCCTATTACAGGGAAATTTGCAACCAGAACCATATATAGCAAAATTCACACTCTGAAATTTCCACAAAACAATTAAATCCACCCAAGTTGCCCCACACTGGTATCCATCAGAATGTTACCAAAGAGGCCTCTAAACGCCATTAGTCTTAACTACTAAGATGTTCCTTGACCTCTAATTTACTACAGTAAAAATTGGACAAGTGCCGTGAAAACAAAAACTGTGGTCGGCACTTGTGGCTATATTATATTAAAAACGTGTTTACATTTTATGGGTATATCATGTATACTTAATTATGAGACTTGTGGTCAATTCTAGAGAAAGATGATAAATAGGCTGCTGCTTAGGAATATATATATATATATATATATATATATATATATATATATATCCCTTATTATGGACTGAATGTTTGTGTTTGCCCCCCACCCCAAATTCATGTTGAAAACCTAACCCCCAATATGATGGTATTTGGAGGTGGGGGCCTTTAGGAGGTGATAAGGCCAAGAGGGTGGAGCCCTCATGAATAGGATTAGTGCCCTTATAAAGAGACCCCAAGAGGGAAAAGGGACTGGGGGAGTGCAGAATAGGTGAAGGGGATCAACTGTATGGTGAGAGGGTTACTAGACTTACAGTAATAAACACTATGTAGTATACACAAATATCCTATATAATAAAATATCCTATATAATAAAAGCCTAATATGCTAAGTGTCTGGTTGTCCAATTTCATGCACCGGGCCTCTAGTTGAACTATAATGTAATATACTTAAAATATGCATTATCTTATATACCAAGTTTATCATGATTAAAGAGAGACCCCAGCCAGAGTGCTCTCTTGCTCCCTTCTGCCATGTGAAGACAGGGCAAAGATGGTCATCTCTGAACTGGAAAGCAGGTCCTCAGCAGACACTAATCTGTTGGCCCTTGATCTTGAACTTCTAGCCCCCAGAACTGTGAGAAATAAATGTCTGTTTCAAGCCATCTAGTCTATGGTATTTTTGTGATAGCAGCCCAAATGGACCAAGACAACCCCCTATTTAACACAGCAATGATGGAGAATCAGATCGGACCGGTCTCGTTTGGACTGGCTGCTACCTTTTTCAGCTTTTCTTTGCCAGGTTTTACCATGGTAAGTCAGCAGCTATGGTTCCAGACCTTGTGCTACTATCATCTTTGGCAATGTTTCATAATCTTTTCTTGTCCATGATTCATGTGTGAATGTGCTGACCCCAGAACCCTATGCTTTCAGGTATAATCCTCTGCCCAAACCGGCCAGCTCCACCTTCTAGAAAAAACAAGCAATGTGCAGGGAAGAGCCCAGGTCAGGACAAAGCATTCACTGAGATCAGCGGTGTCCTGGTGACTAGCACGTTGTGCTAAAGGCAAGGGCGTAAGCTTTAGTTTTGTTCCCATTACTTTGCTTTTTCCCTACAGAGTGACTCAACATCCACTGAGTACTCTCCCCTCCACGTTGTCTACCTGACAGGACCATAGCTTATCGTAAGAGAACTTGACCCAACCTTTGAGTGCTTTAAAGAACACCGAAGTTGTATGACTTACTTTGGTTTCATAAAGTGAAAGAAAAAGAGACGTATAAAAAAGTGTCAGATTATTAATTAAGAAAAGAAAGAGGAAAAAAGACAAGGCAGTCCCTGTTATGACAAACAACTGATTTGTCAGGCTGGAGCTTGACCTCTGACCCACTCCAGCCCTCTGGCCCGCCACCCCCTCATGCCCCGCCTGCTCACCAAACCCGTGCAGACGCCAATGGCAAACACCATCATCCACTTCACCGCCTCATACCTGCGACCTTTCTGTTCACACAGGAAAAAAATGACTCAGTTTGTTTCAGGATTATGTTGGCAGCAGGGAAGGAACACATCTTGGCCAACCAGTTTTAGAGTGAATTTCACAAGGACAGCAAAAATGTCAAAGATGATGCCTGATATGGAAGGTGCTTTATAATGCAAGAATGATGGACTCTAAGAGGTTGGGTCAGCGGGTATTTGGGTTGGCAGGAGGAAGTAGTCTAAGGGATAAATGCTGTTGTCTCATGAGGGTTAAAAGGGCAAGGGATAAAGGTAAAGGAGCTATCGTAAGACCTCCTCAGTCCCAAGAGGTCAATGAGGGACTCACCTTATTATCCATGGTCTCCAAAACTTCCAGGTAAGGGTCATTGATACAGCGATCATAATCCAAACTCTGAAAGAGGGGCATGTGAGTAAAAATGTCATACTATGGTACACGATCCCATTTTGAGTAAATAAAATTAAGATTTTTTGTGTGTCAGCATACATAAAGCAAAAGCATCTGGGAAAACTGTTAATAATGGCTATCTCTGAGGTGATAGTTTAGGAGGTGTTCTTCCCATCTGGGTATTGTTTAAAATTTTCACAGCAAACATGGTACTTTTTATAGCTGGAAAAATTTTTTTTTCTGATTACAAAAACACACACCATAGAGCCCTACCTGGTTTGACTCAGTGGATAGAAAGGTCCAGGGTTCGATTCCAGTCCAGGGCACATGCCCGGGTTGTGGGCTCAATCCCCAGTAGGGGGGTGTACAGGAGGCAGCCGATCAATGATTCTCTCTCATCATTGATGTTTCTCTCTCCCTCTCTCTTCCTCCCTGAAATCAATAAAAAGATATATATATCACAGTGAAAAATTCTGCTGAGAAACTAGACCCATCCATGAGTGATTAAGTATATATTTATATATGTGTATACATATTTTAATCAAGTTAGTGACATCACATTCTAGGAACAAAAGGGGAAAAATTAAAATGTTGAAAAATATGAATATTCTTCATACCAAATATTTATAGAAATGACTGGCCAATTAATTATTTGTTTGATGGTTTCGCCTAATAATGCTATGACTCCACAAACAATGAAAAGGGTTTCGATGCCCAGAAGAGGCAACTCTATAGCAACAGGAAGTAGATCAGCGGTTGCCTAGGGTCAGGGACAAGGACAATGGGCAGTGACTCTGCTAATGGGTACTGGGTTTCTCTCCAAGGTGACAAAAATGTTCTAAAATTGATTTGGTGAGGGCTGCACAACTCTGAATATACTACCGAGTAGTACACATTAAATAGGTAAATTGTATAGCATGTGAATTATACTAGCCCTAACCCTGAATAAAGCTATTTAAAGGGGCATTTAGAAACAAATGCAATGCCAGAACATCAATCTTTTCTTTTTTTTAAATAAATCAGCTGAGAGCCTAACACTTTGTAAATATACATCAATGAACTATATATATCTGTATTAAAATCAGATATTGTCACTTCTCTCTCTCTCTCTCTCTCTCTCTCTCTCTCTCTCTCGGTTAAACCTCACCCGAGGATATTTTTTTCATTGATTTTCAGATAGTGGAAGGAAGGGGGGAGGGGCAGAGAGAAGGAGAAGGGGGGAGGTGAAGAGAGAGAGAGAGAAATGTGAGAGAGACACATTGATTGGCTGCCTCCTGCACATGCCTGACCAAGTCCTGGGATCAAACCTGCAACCCAGATTCGTGTCCTTGACTGGAATCAAACCCAAGACCCTTCCGTACTCCAGCTGACACTCTAACCACTGAACCACGCCAGCCAGGGCTGTCATTCTCTACCATGACTCACTTCCTTTTATTTTTGCTGTATATGTTGCTCTTTGATTTGGGGGAATAACAACTTTAACATTTTCTATCTTTCTCTCCTTCTCCCTTCCTCTCTGAAAACAATAAAATCAATAAAACTGTATTTAAAAACGGCAGGGGGCTTGTTAAACAGCCCCTTCCCCAGAGGGAAGTTACCTCTCACTCACTCCCTTGGTTGGCATCCTAAAGCTACAGGTCAGTCACTGCTTTTGTTACCAAGACAGCAGCTAAGAAGCTCACCTCATAGTCTTTCCTTGGCAGGATCTCATCCTCCTCCTCCTGTGTTTCTCCAAGGATGGTCTAGAAAAACAGATCCACAGAAGGGAGACCCTCTTAGTGGTTAAAAGGAAAAGGAGGCAGAAGTGTTCACCGACATCTGTTGCTAGTTTCTAAATTGTCTAGAACCATTGTCATCAATGGGAACAAGATCGCAAAAAAACACACACAACAAAAACAACAACAAAAACCTCCCACAAAATCCTTTTGGGATAGGGGGTGATGTGGGTGGGGATCCAGCTCAGCTTTTCATCTCTATTGATACATTCTCCAAATAACCACTCTTGTCTTCAGGACACGTCAAAGATGCCCACTGCCAGCTTCAGCGGGGGGGAAATCCAGGTCCGTCTGACAAGGTGCCCAATCTGAAATCCGAAGGGACCTGTCAACTTTGGGAGCAGAGCAACTCGTTTTCCCAGGATGCCTTGCAGGGGAAACTGGCTTGTCAATGACCCCGAAAGGCTCAGGGACGGAGTGAGAAAAGCGCTGGAGAACCTAAGCCAGCGGCATGACAAGCATGAAAGGGCTCATTCCGAAAATGCTCGTTTCACTCAACACTCCTTCCAGATGGGAATTAAAAAAAGAAATCTATGGGATTCACTGAAGCTGGCCCGGATTCTCTTAGATCCCAGGGCGGAGTTATGAGAATTAGCCTCCGGACTTGGGCACGGGAAGCAGGGCCGATTCTACGAGAGCCCGGCGTGCGGTGCCCATCCGCACACGCTGCCACCTGCGGGCCCAGCTCGGCCCGGCCCCACCTCCGGCGACGCCTCTCCTGTCCCTTAGCAACTGCCCGGCCCAGCCGCCAGCGCCCGCGCCTTACCAGCTCCTCTGGCGTGCGGGTTTCACGCTCCCCGCAGCAGCAGCACCACCGGCAGCAGCAGCACCAGGACCCCCTGCACCCCGCCATCTTCCTCTTCTGCTGCCGCTCCGGACCCCCAGTGCCAACCCCCTCCCACCCGCTCGGCGCCTCACGTGACTGGCCCCCGCAGGGTCACGTGTCCCTCTCGAGTTCGGCGACCGAGGCGGGGAGTGGCTGCAGACGGGTGGGGCGACGGGCCGCGTCACTGGCGGTGGAGCGGCTTGAAACAGGACCGCTGGGCGCGGCCATGTTGGGGGCGGGGCTTCCTGTCGCCCGCCGGGGTGGTTTCCGCCCTCTGGCCCCGCCTCCCTTAGCAACAGTCGCCGATGCCGCGCGCCCCGCCCCCTTCGCAGCGACTCCGCGGCGGCCTCGCAGCCTAGTTGGCACGCGTGCTGTGGGGCGCCCGCTACCGGAGGGTGAGTGACGGCGTGGCGCGGGGTACACAGACCTGGCATCGGGGGCCACCAGCTGGGGCCGTGACTTACCTATGTGCGGGGGGCAGTGGAGGCCGGTCTGCCCCTCTAGGCGGGGGCTCCCGCCACCTCTGTGAGCTTCTTTCGCGGGACGAGTGTAACCCCCAAAGGCTGTCACCCCCAGCCACCCCCCAGTCCTGAAAGCAAACACTCTCTTTTAGTCCCGGCCTGGACAGACACCAGGGGAGGAGGCGGCTCCGGAGCCACCTAGGCGCGGGAGGTGTTTTTGCGGCTCCAGTCATTTAAACCTGCCTCCCCGTCCTGGGCCGCTGGCACACATGCCTCCCCGGCACCCCACCCCCCACCCCGGGCCCATCGCGTCGGGCTGCGCTCAGTTGTGGCCTCCATATGCCCCCACCGCTCGCCGATTAAGTGCTTAGTAAATGGCAGAAGGCTATTTTGAGATCAGAGCGACAGAGCCCCGGCCTGTTGGCGCTCAGGGCTGGCTGTCGCATTACCTTGTGCCAGTCACAGGAATATCAGGATACCCGTCAAAGGCAGGATCCCACTCTGGTCTTGGAACTGGGGGGCGGGGCAGGGGGGCGGCAGGAGGGGAGACAAACCTGTGAACCCACAAGTACAATCCAGGGTGCTGCCGGAGCGCAGCTTGAAATGGGTAAGTAGAGGCACGGGAAAGAAGGTGGAAAGGGCTGTGCCTGGCACATACTAGGAACGCAGTCAGTTTTTATGGAACCAATGAAAGAGCAGGTAATTTGTAGGTGGTTCCGTCTCCTCCCCCTCTCTTGATTTTGTTCCAGCAGAAAGGCCAGCCAGGCAGATCTTGACACACTTACCTGTTTCTCACTCCCGATGGCCACCCTCACTGAGAAGCAGGAGTTTTATGTCAGAACCAAAACAGGGCATCCCCGGGGAGAGCAAGTGTTGGCACAAGTGTTCTCAGTCTGGTCTTGACTTCTTGACATTTGGTGTGTCGCTGTGCGTGATGGCGCCTCTGCGTTTTAGGGGAGAGGAGCTTTGGATTTCATTAGTTTCTCATGACTCTAGGATCCCAGAGTGGTTAAGAACACCAGCTTAGCCCAGCTGGTGTGGCTCAGTGGTTGAGCAACGACCTATGAACCAGGAGGTCACAGTTCAATTCTCGTCAGGCACATACCCTGGTCACAGGCTCAATCCCCAGTGTGGGGCGTGCAGGAAGCAGCTGATCAATTATTCTCATCATTGATATTTCTCTCTCCTCTCTTCCTCTCTGAAATCCATTTAAAAATATCCTAATATATATAAAGAGCTAGGTGCCGTCACGACCGAACGGGCGACTGGTCACCATGAAGTGCATGGAGCACCTCTTGGTCCCCCCCTCCGCCGGCCCCCGAGCTGCTCACCATGAGGGGGGGCTGGCGGTGGGGCGGGACTGGGGCCTGTTGAGCCGCGGTGGCGGGATACTTCGTGGGGTGGCTGTGAGCTTAGGGGAGCAGTCACCCGGGCGGCAGTGAGTTTCACAAAGCAGACGCGGGGCGGGGGAGTTTTGCAGAGCGTCCAGCGGCGAGCTTCGTGGGGCAGCAGCAAGCTTTGTGGAGCAGTTGCGGGGTTCACGAAGCAGTCAAGAGGCAGGGGGAGCCTCACGGAGCAGTTGAGGGGCCGCAAGCATCGCGGAGCATCCTGGGGCAGGGAGCTTCACATAGTGTCACAGGGCAGCAGAGGCCATGTGACGGAGCCCAGGCTAGGCCTAGGGACCCTAACTGCGCACGATTTCGTGCACGCTGGGCCTCTAGTCCTATCTAATAATAGACAAACATGGTAATTGACCGTACCTTCGCTACGCCTCCCATAGGCTAATCAGCGAGATATGCAAATTAACCATCAACAAAGATGGCGGTCAATTTGCATACGTAGGTGCGAAGCGGCGGAGGGAAGACTGAAGGAGGCTCCAGCCTGAGCAGTGAAGGCTTGAAGGCGGCTCCGGCCGGAGCGAAGGCCTGGGTCCCAGGTGCCGGAGGAAAACCGGTGCCTGCAGCCAGGGAAGGGAAGGCCTATTGCATGAATCTTTTCAT